AATATAATAAAATACTTATATAATTATAAGTTTTATAAATAAATAGTCTTAATTTTATACTATTAGCTAATATAAAAAAGTAGGTTTTAATATACTCTTATAAGCTTAGTATTACAGGCTTAAGCTAGTAGCTCAGGCTTAAACTAAACCTAATATAAAGGTAGCTTAAACCTAGCTTAAATAATTTATAAGTTAAGTAGAGATATAGAGAGAGGTAAAAAGAGAGAGACTCTTTTTCTTTTTTCTCTTTTTTCTTAAGTTTATTCTTACTTTTTAGAGACGTATACTTATAGTAGTATAGTATAGCTAGTCTATAACACTTAGAACTTAAAAAACTATAAATATAGTTTTTATAGTATAGTATAATATAGTGATTTTTTAGACAATTATATAATCTAGTTTTTTAGCTTATAATAAGCTAAAAGAACCCACTTTTCTATATAAGCTAATTCGTTATAATATTAGCTAATCTATATATTTATTATAATAATCCAAGTATTTTATTAGATTTATTATTTAATATTTAAGCTTTTTTTAAAATTAAAAATGTAGTTTTCTTATTATAGCTCTAGCTGCCTTAACCGGCGATAAAGTAAAAGGCACTAGGTTAAGGGTTCTATACCTGCTCTATAAGGCTATAACGCGAGTTTTAACAAGACACATTAATGTTAACAGATAATAGGGTCGCGCTTAGGAGCTGGATAGTCCTCTTCTCCCACTAACACAACTATTTGGGTGTATGTAACGCTGTATCTCCCTCACTGCAACCGCAGGGCATTTTGTCAATAATACACTGCAGTGCTTTTAGAGCATAGGGTACCTCATTAGTCGTGAGTGTCCTCATCGTCTGTCAAGTTTGACCTCTCAGCCAGAAATCTTTCAATGCTAAGCGGCATAGATGCAAATACGTGCAGGTCTAGAGCATCATTTAGTGCCTTGTTATCTGCTACACCAGTCCAAGTAGAATTTTCACGTTTTAGAATTCGCTGCCGTTTTCGGGGATAGGTGCTAGGTCCCGCCACGGTGCATCGTTTGCATCTTTCCAGCATAACTTGGTTGTCCGGACCGTATTTGTCGAAGTCTGGTGTAACCGCTGATATTTCGTTTGCTGAGAATGAAGCAGATTTATGGCTTGCTAAATCCGGTGTGTTTGCATTATCTTGCGCTTGCCGGACACGCCGTTTCGAAGGGTCTCCGGTTTGCGCCGAGGTCTGCTCATCGTTTAAACCTCTGGTGCTCTCAGGCGACATGCTGGTAATGTGAGAGTCAGATTCCAAGGTCGACGCGGCGATTGACCTCGCACCAGCGTAAGATTGTATTATCTGTTCCCTTAAGGGCATCTCAGCAGCCATTTTCTCGATGCAACACATCTCGTAATGATGGCGCAAAGCTCTGCGATCCACGTTCGGTGGCAGCTGAGCAGTCCTGTCGTGATATTCTTCAAGAAAGTCGAATGGAACAAAGATGCGGACTCGTAGCGTATCCGGATGGATGGAAAACAGTCTAAGGTCGAACAGCTCATGAAGAGTCTTGGACAGCAATATGCCATTCTTAGCTTGCCATGTGCGGCGCCAGGCTTCACGAAGGCGACGATGACTGTATCTCTGCTCGCTGCTGAAAGCTTCAGGCAGGGGATATACATGGTAGTGTTGCTGGGGCACGATATGGCATGCTTGCACGCCTGGTCCAACTGCTGGACTGGCACACCATCCTCGCCCCTTGCCGCTCACAGCACATCTATTACTTTCAACGAGACAGGAAGTACGGAAGGTTGCCATGGTTTGACGTGCATCTTCAACTGACATGTCCATCATCATTGGGGGGGTGATGAGACTGGTAACGTCATCGTCACCAGTAACAGCTTGCGAGCCTCCACAATTGTCTTTGGTTGGAGATACGGACCCCGAGGCGGAACGTTTTGACGGTGACGGCGATCCTCGAGGTCGTATAGTTTTGCGGTATGGTAGTTGAGTAAAGTTCGGGTCCTTTGAACCTTTGTTTGGAGGAAGGTACCGACTATCCTGACGGAGAGATGGATAGGGAATGTGCGTTGCGCACCCGGCTGTTAATAACAGTATATTAGTCAACTGTTACATAGGGCGGGGATAAATCTATACGAACCTCGTATATGCGTCTCCAAGGGCTCTACAGTTGGAAGATCGCAGTCGTTATGTCGAACAACTTGGTAGCGAGAAAAGCAAGGCTGCATTGGGTCGGTTGACGGTTCCCTCTTCGAGATGCGCGCCCTAAACAAAGGACGGGAACGATGGAGAAGGCCACCCACGGCCGGCATTGACAAATCCAACGTGGCCGAATGCAATACCCTTCCAGGGATCACTCGGTTCTGGGGCTGAAGAGCTATGAGGAAGTTCAAAGCAGAGACGTAGCTTGTCGATAATGTGGCGATAACGCAAAGTACCTGAGCCGGGAGGGTGAAAAAGACCAGCAAAGTGATCTATACCAGCTAAGAAGTGAATATTCCAGCCATGAGCACGCGCTTGCGGCGTGACTGTAGCGTCAGACATTTTGGACCAGCGTAATACTTGCCCTTGCCTGTTGTCTAGGCTGAGGTTAACATTTTGTGAATGGGTGACACACACGATAGTCTGACAAAGCAACAGCCACGTTACCTATTAGTTAAGATGTGGGGCCTATAGCAGCCCAATTAAAGGCCTTCGCCTCTAAGTGAGCGTAAAATATCCGGTATATAAGGGACTAGTAGTGTTAGCCTAAGAGGGGTTTAAATTATATAAAAAAGTTTAAATAGTATAAAAAAAGTTATACTATTTAATTAATAGTATAATTATTTTCTTATAATATAAGAGTAATATTTTACGGTATAAGGTTAATATAAGTATAATATAAAAAGTAAAATATAGTTCAAAAAAAGTAAATATATTACTTAATTTAGATATAAAATATATGTTATTAAAGAGCTAGATAGAGTATATAATAAAAGATAAATCAAAGAGCGTATTTAAGCTTACTCTTCTAAACGATTTAAACGGGAATTCTACCTCTATATATAACTAGAATATTAGAAATATTAGATACTTGATTTTCGTATATCTAGCCTTATTTACTTAGTTTTATGAGGGTATTTTAATTGTATTTTAGTTGTGTAATACCCCGTAACTTCTTGTAACTTAAAAGGTAATAATCTGTAATTCCCTATAATACTAGCTGTAATACCAGCTATAATACTAGCTGTAACGCGAGATATTAGAGTCTATAACCCCCTAGAATACAGAGGTTTTTAGTGCTAGGCTTATTAGAAGCCAGCTATGTAGCCCAGCTATTTAATAGCTAGCCTTGTTACCTAGATTTCGGTTAACACTATTAAAGCGTGTTAGCTATTATAAGTATAAGCCTACTTAATTAAGTAAGTAATAAGAAAATTTTTTTTTACTAAGATTATTAAATAAGTAAAGATATTAAATAAGTAAACTTTACCTAACCATAGAATTTATTCAGCTTTATTACCCTACCGAGCTAATAGAACGTCTTTTAGAGGTTCGCGAGCAGATAGGGAGTCTACGACTGCCCGGACAATAATGGATGTGCTGGTTCCGAGCAGCTATAGTATACATGTGTGATTTACTTCACCGTGAGTACCTGCATTAGTTTGTATAGCATTTCATTAAGGTGAACATTCGTCGAGTACAGCGAGAAGACGAGCATTACCCACATTATTTACTTCTCCCCACTACCAGAACCCTCACTCTTAACATAATTTATACCCCGTTCCGCTTGTTTTTGCAAAGAAACGTTTCGCAACCGTACCTCCTCCGCTAATAATAAATATAGCTAGCAAGCCGTTAGCACAAATTCCCTCTAGAGTTATCAAACAAAAAAGCAGCACCTCGGCGACTGACGTATAATTCCACACCGAGACTATGCAACAACAGCGCAAGGATCCCAGCCGATCCAAAGAAAGTATCCAACGCAGCGGCAATCTTCACCGGATTGCCACCCATATCCGCCTTCACAATGACCCTCGGGTCAACCCCAGTGCGATACCACGACTCGCACGCAGGATAAAAGAACAGAGTATAGTCTTTGATGTGCCCGAATATATCATCAATCTGAACGCATGGCTTTGTGGTGTAATAGTTCCCGCGAATACTGATAATCCTCGCGGCGGCCATCATGATAAGCCTCAAAGAAATAATAGAGCCAGCCTAACCGCCCGCCAGCCTGCAACGCCTCCCCTTCGTATACGATGGTTAAATTTCGAGGCGGAAAGACTCACATAGAACCAAGCGCGCAGCATCCCAGCTCTATGGTGCGCAATTCTAAGCTTCTTGATATTATAAAATGCCAGACCAAGCGTAACCAGGAACATGGCCTCCAGAATAGCCAAGAAAATCTGTGTCTCTGGCTCCCCTCCAAACAAATTCCTCATGATCATGAAGGCCCACGCCGCAGATACCAACGAAAGCAAAATGATGACGTAGCCGTTGATCCCGTGGACCAAAAGCCGCTTGTGTCGTATAATGGGTACGAACTAGAAGCACACCAGGAACGCGGATGGAAGCACAGTCGCCAGAGGATGCCATTGAGATTCAGAAATGGCAGCCGGGCGAGTGTAAAGCCCATAAGGGCGCCGGTAAAAATGAGCCACAGAATAAAATTATACACTTTTCGAAATCCGATTGCCTGAAAGACCTTCTAAAAGGCCTTCGGGAGTAGTGGTGTTAGAAGACATGGTGGCAGATAATCCCGTCTGGGCCAGGCTAAACGCTTGCCGCACGATTGGGAAATCAATAAGCTCTGTGATGCGAATGAAGATGGTGTGGTTGACTGTACAGTATCGGAACTGGAAGTTCATGGATATAGTGATGAAGGGATGTTAGCCCGGAGCCTCACACGAGTCACATCACATAGTGCCGCGTCAATCCGAACTTTTATTTGGCATTGACGCAGCCACGCCACGCCACTGATTTCCACGCTTTCCATGTAGGACTTATTGGAAATTTGGTTTCTTTATGCACCGAATCTACTAGGTAATACACCACGAGCATACCATTCACTAAAATGCTCCGGATGAGTGGTAAGACGGAACAAGTTGCTAGCCTAGATGCAAAGTCCGGCTATCCGGTCCATAAAACCTTGTTTGTTGAGGAAACCGGGCCAAGAAGCATCCATGGATTCGACTAAATAGCCGAGAATAAGAGCGAGTTTACCATAGTAATAATTAGTTTCTTGAGCCATGCGTTACGCAGGAACGTGCTGTAACGGTGAATGGTGGGCCGGGGAACATTGTTCACTCTGCACTATGACGTTTCATGCATGTTAATCTATGTATTTAATGAGCATTTTTAGACTATACCTCAAATTAATAGCTACAAATCTATGACTCTTAGAACTCCAGACGTAGTTTCCGCCAATTTCAATTCGGGTATATATGACCGTTTCTTCTAGCAATCCATCCGCAACTAGCATCACGGCTCAAACCTACTCCCCATCGACGCTCTCCCATTTTTCTGCGCGCACTAATTCACAAAAATCACTCACTTGTTAGCAGGCTTGATAGAAGCGGTCTCACCGTCACTCGAGGCACCGGATGCTCCATTCTCGACAGCCTTGTCCGCGTTATTCCCCTTCTTGTCATCGAATCCATATTCCGTCTCCAGAGTAGTTCGCAGCATGATTTCCTTCTCGCAGAATACGAGGATTAGCCCTAGCAGGGAGAACAGCAATGCGACCTGCCAGGTCATGCGTAAAGCGCGTGTACACATCCACAACCTCGTCTTGGACCTGAGGGCTCAGCTGGAGGGAGTCTCGAGAGGACATTTGTGACGTAGCCGTACGCGGCTCCGCTATCAAGAACTGCGCGCACAGTCTGGTCACCAACTCTACATGCTTCCAATGCACAGCGCGCGTTGAAGATTGGTGCGGGGACGGAGACTCCATGTCCCCAAATGGCGCCGTAGCTGCGCAGGAAATCGAATGCAGCGGTGGAGACAGCGGCGTCACTCTCAGGCAGATCGGCTTGCACAGCAGGTAGGTTAGACGTAGTGAGCAGACCAAGACCAAACGAGAAGATAATCTGGATGATAATGTACTCGGCCTTGCTGGTGTCGGGACCAAATCGGGAGAATAGGCCAACTCCGAGATTCAGCAGCACGAACATGCAGGACCCTGTATCTGCCGGTGGCAGTGAGGAGCCTCCTCGAGTGACATATCATGTACGTATATGCATGTGTCGCTCGGACTTTGACCGAGTAATCTTCAGGTTGTAATGAGTTGCAGTTCCACGACATCTGGAGCCAACAATTTCCGCTACACAAGATTCCACGGACTCACCAAGTACGGATACCGGACGGCTCTATGCTACCCTCCCGCCGGGCGTAAAGATGAATATTGACAGGCCAGATATTCCCCCGACCACGAATTCGTGATCCACCGGCCTGCTTCATACAGCAAAGCGGCATGTTATCAGGCTGCCAACATAGTACTTCGGCCACGACCATATTCGGATCTCGCCGAGCCTAGGATGGCATGACTCGGCTAGCCATACTCGCCAACTTGGCGATTTGCGGGGTCGAGCAACCGGGGGGGCGGGGAATTACCATTGTTCATATGGTTGCGATAGCTGCCGTTGCCAGATCGGTGTTTCCGGGGCAATCGAGAGATCCTAGGCATTCGCCGAGCAAGCAATCCCCAAATTCATGCCCGGTACTGGACCGACGACGGCGCCAGCGCCAGCGGCTGGCGTGCGCAGTATGAATGGGTGCTGGACCTGTCGTCTTAGACGGAAGAAGTGTGATGAAGCACGCCCGTGTTGTCGGAACTGCAACCAGCTGCAAATCGACTGTGTATATGGGACGAAGCCGGTATGGATGGATCGAGGAGTCCTCGAACGCAACGCAGCCCTCAAGATCAAGAAGCAAATCGCAGCACGATCCCATCGACGAACGAAATCATCATCTTACTCTTCAGAATCGGCGCCATCGTCGGCTTCGAGTGAATCGCGGCTCTCTAACGACCTGCGGCAAACAGCAGATGGCACGAGGCAGCAGAACATGGATCTTGGGGATATTAGTCTTGTAGCACATCAACGTGTAGATGGTGCATGGTGTACTGCGGACAACATGGCTACCAGTGGGCTGGATACCATTGGCATCGATACCACAGTTAGCCTGGGTTCGGTGGTGGAAGGGTCTCCCGTCGATTTCGCAATGTGGTGCGGCGAATACGGTCCCAAGCAGGACGGCATTATCTCTCCTGCAGTCTCTTTGCAGTTAGATTCATGGCAGACGCCATCGCCGCAAAACGATTCGGGCGACACGTCGTCTAAAAATACTGTTCTCGAAAGCATAGATGCTGCACGGACAGCGCCTAGACATGGCAAGTCGGTTGAGTCGCCTGCCACGTATCCTACGAGCCACAACAGCGCGATGAACTGTTCTACCGGTGGCTCTAGCATGATGGAGAGCGACAGTGATTGGTTTTATCGTGTGCCTCCTAGCCAAGGTACTTATTTTCAATCAGCTCTGCGAGCCGTCCTCTTGGGCTTTAGTTGTCTTGAACGATGCTAACATGACCCTCCAAGGTATGCTCACTATAGAAGATGCTCTGCTATTATCATATTATACAGAAGAAGTGCTACCGGCTCAGTTTACTGACCACGGCGGCGAAAAATACCGCTGGATGCGCTTCCTACTGCTCACCTCAGCGCCGGTGCTACAGACAACTTTGACGTTGGCAAAGGCATGTAGGCGACACGCCACTCGCGACGATAACGCGGCAAATATAGAATGCGCCGACTTGCTAAGGAACGCGGCGGATGCTATTCTGGACATTCCGTCGGTACTTGCAACGTTATCCATTAGCAACCAGGAGCGTCAGGCAGAGCAGATAGTTGTTGCTTGCACGTGTCTAGCGCAGACAATTCACCTTGAAGTAAAGAATTTGAACCCGGTGGGAGAGGCCTGAACCCCAATAACTGACATATTAAGACAGATTCTCAACGCAACATCGTTGCTCTGGCAAGAGTGCTTGCAGCAAGCTTCGGCGTTTGCCCAGCCTCTGATCGACCTTGCTGCCATGGCGTTGGACGAAACAGCTGACAGAAGGCAAGCTACTACATCGGCTCTGCACATGTACGCTGCAGCAGCCAAGGCCCTTATTGGGCGGCTGGTTTGGTTTGATATTGTAGGGGCAGTTTCAACAGGAGGCAAGTTGCGCCTCGCCATTGACTACGACAGCCTCTTCGCCTCGAATACTTTGCCCGCGGGTCGCGCGCCGGGCTGCCGCAAGGACATTATCGCTCTGCTCTACCAGATTCTTTGTCTCCGCCACTGGAAGCTGAACTTGGAAAGGGAAAAGAAGCTTAACGTCATGGAATTGGCCACCAAGGGCTATCGCATCTTGCAGTCGCTCGAGGACATCACCACCGGGATCAACAGCGTCGCCCTCGAAGCCATGGACGAAGCCGCCTTTGCCGATTCCATCAATCTTGCCTTTACTAGCACGGCCGTCATCTATCTTCACACGGTGATCTCGGGTCCGATCCCACACCTGAAGGAGATCCGCTCCGAGACGACCAAGCTGGGCCATCTGCTGCGCGACTTGGCGACAAGGCAGCAGATTGGCTGCGTGCCTTTGCCTGTCTGCGTGGCTGCGTGTTTCTGGCCGCAGGAAAACGTGGGGGAACTTGGCAGCCTGATATTCTCAAAGCAGCGAGGAGACACGGCCGTGTCTGCTGGCGATGGCGGAGGCGTAGAAATGCGATCAAAGGCCAGCCTCTTGGCGGCGCTGGAAATGGGGCGCCTCGCTTTACGGGATGGGGGCCGAGTGGACTGGACCCTGGCTGGGCAACATGCGGCTAGTAATAGGCGGGCGCTACTGCTAGGGGGGAAATTATCAATCCCATTTGATGTCACTGCATGTGGTCAATTGTCGCCATTTCCTACGCGGGGAAATCCGCCAATCTAACAGAGTGACTCGGTATGCAAACATGAAATATTTATGCAAAAATAAGTCGCCTTAGCATTTCTCTCCCAAGACAGCAACAAGAAAAAGAAACAAAAGGAGAAAACATCGCGACTTCTCTCAAAAAGCGCGCCAATAATGCTATTAATATAATTCAGTAGTCGCAAATGCGGTAGCAGCAAGTAATGCATGCATGCAGGACAGATTGACACTTGACGGTCCATGTCAGGATCAGGCTGCGACGGGCTTAGTGTCGCCTGAGGCAGCAGCAGGCGACGTGCGACAAAAGGGTCAGGTCCAACGGGCAACACATCTTGACTGCATTTTTTAATTCATTGTTGGCTAGTTTGCCAGCCTTGTTCTCTCCAAACTAACCAGACATTTAAACTTCAATGTTGACCTTCTCCAACAGGGCCCGTCCTCATCTCTCCCCCGGCAGATCCGAGGCACACACTCTTCTTCTCACCCGTAGCATTGCTTACTCGGGCCAGCAAACTAAGAAAAATCAAATTACAAAAAAGAATTCATGTCTTGCGCCGCGGGAGTCGACTCCTCGCTCGGGCCCCGAGTCGATCCCGCGTGCCGCCAGTTTGACTTTACCCTCGCGTTTGAGGACGTCGTCTTTGTCTGCGTCCCAGCAGTCTTGTTTATTGTGCCTGCATTGGTGCAGATTGCTATTCTGTTGCAGAAGAAAGCTGCCGTTCAGCGAGAGCTCGATGTCTTTGTCGGGGTCAAACTTGTAAGCTGAGTCCTGGACTCCTGTCCATCTATCTGGTCTGGCCCTTCCTCCGGGCTCTTATTGGCTTTATCTACTAATCAAGCATCTGACCCAAGTAGCTTGCCTTTGTCGCAGCCTTGGCGACCCAGCTTGCTGTGTTGGGAATCCACCTTCGGACCACGGCTCTCGTGACGACCGTGTCGCTGGCTGGCAATGTCTTGGCCTCCATTGCGACTGCTGCTGCTGCGGTATTGTCCTTTACGAGCTACCGCAAATCCCCTCGGCCTTCGACGCTTCTGGCCCTCTACCTATCTGCTGCTGTCTTGTTGGGCACTGCTCGTGCGCGAACATTCTGGCTTATCACAGGAAGCAGCTCCGCGTCGGTGTCTTTGATAGCGTCCTTGGCCTTGCTGCTATCAGCGCTCTTCTTGGAGTCGCTCCGTAGCAAGCCGCTGGATGCTGAAGACGCGCAGACGCAAGGGAAAACTTCCGAGCTGTACAGTGGCTTCTGGAACCGAATCACCTTTTCGTGGCTGGCGACTACGTTTTGGCTTGGCTACTCAAAAGTCATATCAGCCAATGATCTGCCTGGGCTTGACCCTAGGCTGCACAGTCATGCTCTGCAAGACCAACTCTCACTCAACTGGAATAAAAGTTGGTAAGCATTCTAGTAAAATGCAGCATCGTTCTTTCTCGCTAACAAGAAGGGAGAAGGCTATAAAAAGGGCAAATATGCTATACTGCGTGTTTGTATCTGCACCTTTTGGCCTTCGCTCGTTTCTACAATCATACCTCGCCTCTGTGTCACCGTATTTACCTTTACACAGCCATTCTTGGTTAATACGACACTATCATATGTCGGAGCCAGTAGGCGTGACGCTGACTATGGACGTGGTCTTATTGGCGCCTGGGTTCTTGTATATCTAGGCATTGCCGTAAGTTGGCTATAATTGCGCAATGTCTTGGTAGAATACGTTTGCAACTGACTCTATTAAATACCTAGGTGTCCAATTCTGTTTACAACTACCAGAATCTTCGCTTCTCTTTGAGACTTCGAGGCGGCCTCATTGCCCTCGTGTTTCAACACAATGTCAATACCCGACCTGTCGACATGGGAGACATCACCGGCGTGACGCTCATGGGCACCGACGTTGAACGAATTGTCAGTGGAATGCAAATGTTTAATGAGCTGTGGGGCTCGCTATTGGATGTTGCCGTGGCTGCTTGGCTTCTCGAGCGCCAATTATCCCTCGCGTGCCTGGCTCCCATTGTGCTGATTCTGAGTATGGACCTCTGACCTTCAGGAGTTCTTGACCGTGACAGCTAATAGTGATTCTTCGCCTTGTAGTTTTTGTTGCCATTACATCCAAAGTCTCTGCATCTGCCGGCACGTCGCAGCGACTATGGGTTGAAAAAGTCCAAGAACGGCTTCGGGTCACGACAGCTGTTCTAGGAGACATGAAAAGCGTCAAGCTTCTCGGCCTCCCAGCCGTGCTGTCCAAAATTATTTCTGCTACTCGCCTCGATGAGATTAAAACATCGGAAAAGTTCCGCAAAATCATTGTTGCCACCATCCTGCTGTGTAAGACCTCTTCGGTGCATATCCTTTATCAAGCCCAGTAACTAATCACCGTGTTTACAGCATTGACACCAATCAACCTCGCTCCCGTCGTCACATTTGCTGTCTATGTGATAATTTCTCTCTATTGGAAAGACGACACTCTTCTCACTGCCCAGGCATTCACCTCTGTCGCACTCATCGCCCTACTTGTCAACCCCGTCATCGCTTTTATCCAGACCCTGCCAAACTTTTTGCAAACAACGGGATGTTTTGGGCGCATCCAAGAGTATTGTAACTACGCAGACACGCCCGCGCAGGCAAAGAAGCCGTCAGCCGACTCTGGTTCTGCTCAGGCTGAGTGCCCCGTCACCGATGACCGCAACAAGGGAGCTGGCGGTTTCCGTGAAAAGGACAATCCTGTAAAGCTTGAGGACTATCTTGGCGGCGAGACCTTTGCGTGGAAAGATAAAGGTGCAAATGTCCTCACGAATACTCATCTGCCCGTCTTGAGCGGCGGCATCAACGTCATTGCCGGCCCAACAGCCAGCGGCAAGTCGGCGTTGTTAAATGCCCTACTTGGTGAGATGGCCGCATCAACAGCGTCTCAGAATCGCCCAATCAGCGGCTCTGTTGCCTACTGCGCCCAGAATCCTTGGCTTGAAAACGGCACGATCCGGGAGAGCATCCTCGGCGTCTCTGAATATGATCCAAAGTGGTACAACAAGGTAGTATGGGCTTGTGGGCTCGATGTTGACCTTGCCCAAGCTAAGAAGAAAGACATGATCAGGATTGGCAGCGGCGGCTTGAATCTTAGCGGCGGCCAGAAACATCGTACTGTAAGTAGATATGCCGAGCAACGCATCGGTCGCTGTAAGGCGCTAATACGGGAATAAATAGGCCTTGGCTCGAGCCGTTTACTCCCGGCACAAAACGATCCTTCTTGACGATGTATTTGGCAGCCTGGATGCGCATACTTCTTCAGCCGTTAGGGAACGGCTTCTCGGGGCCAACGGTCTGTTACGGCAGGGCGTGCAAACCGTTATCTTGGTTTCCAATGACAGTCAGTCTTTCCAAGTTGTGCTTATTTCCTGTTCTGAGGCGCTAACAAATGACAAAGTGGCTTTCATTTCCCTTGCCGACAATATTGCCGTGGTCCAAGACGGTCAAGTATCAAAGTCTGGATCATACCTTGAGCTTTCAAAGAGCGATGGATACATTGGCTCTCTCAAACTGGGCGGTGACAACGAAACACCGGAGTCTGTGGCTCGCGAAACACCTGAGTCTAGAGCAGAGGAAGCTACTGCCTCGCCTCTAGTTGGCATACCAGGCGAGCTCGAAGACGGTCCTAAAGACTCCGGCAAGGAACTTCAAGACTTGCGACGCAAGAATGGAGATGCCTCGGTCTACAAGTACTATTTTTCTAGCGCCGGTTACTTGTTGACCGGCATCAATATCTTTGTCATGTTGATTTGGACAGTCACTACTGAGTTTCTTGTTAGTCGTTGCAATATTCCGACTTGCAGCATATTAACTAACCATTGTGGTAGCAATCTGGATTAAGTGGTGGTCTGAGGCCAATGAGAAGCAAGCGAATGAAAAGGTTGGCATGTATTTGGGCGTCTACGCTGCGCTTGGTGTTCTTGCAACTATAGGGGCTTGCCTGGCTGCTTGGTAAGTTGATGGTTAAAATGAAGGATAGCTACAGACTACGATTCTGACAATGGCCAGGACGGCCCTCATCTCCATCATCTCTAAATCGGCTGTTAAGCTCCATTCTGATTTACTGGAGACTACGATGCGGTATGTGTTCTAATCATGAGGCTATTTGGGTTGATAATAATTCATGTTTTGCAGAGCACCCTTGCGCTTCTTCTCGACAACTGACAATGGAGAAATTTTGAATCGGTAAGTAATCCCTCTGCCAGTCTATCGGCGAGCGGCTCCTCATTTGTTTCAACAGATTCAGCCAGGACATGGAGCTGATAGACATGGAGCTGCCGTCTACAATGATCAATTACTCTTCTAGTAAGCTTCGCAATTCGCAATTTAAAGACATGCTGGAAAATCCTAGCCCAAATACTAGCCGTATTTACTTGCGCTGCCAAGGTCATCATCATTGCCATCTTTTCGAAATATCTCGGCATCGCCATCCCCTTCATGGGCATTGCACTGTTCCTTCTCCAGAGGTTCTACTTGCAAACATCACGCCAGCTCAGACACCTTAGCATCGAAGCCAAAGCGCCGTTGTATACATTCTTCACTGCCGTTTCAGAGGGACTGGTCACTATTCGCGCCTTTGGTTGGGAGCGCCAGTACCAAGGGCGGTGCCAGCGTCTCATTGACGCCTCCCAAAGGCCCGAATACATGCTCAGCTGTATTCAGTACTGTCTTGGGTTTGTTTTGGAGCTCATGACTGCTGTGTTGGCTGTGGCTCTTGTCACAATCACCATCACCCTGGCCGATCAATTCTCCGCCGGAAGTGTTGGTGTTGGCTTAGTCATGGTTATTGGCTTGAGTGAGGTTCTAGTTCGACTGATTAAATCGTGGACCCGGCTAGAAACGAGCATTGGCGCCGCGGCGAGAGTGAAGAGGTATATTGCAGACACCGAGTCGGAAGTGGCCAAGACAAATGTTGTGGATATTTCACCGCAGTGGCCCGAAGCTGGCCATTTAGAGATTAAGAACCTGACAGCTTCTTACAGGTAAGACATTAGTCGCTGCGGATCCTTGGATAACTTGCTAACAGACAGTCCCCTTTAGCGCGGACGCGGAGCCTGCCCTCAACAGTATATCGCTGTCGGTCAAACCCGGCCAGCACATCGCTATCTGCGGTCGCACAGGCAGCGGAAAGAGCTCTATCATTCTGAGTATACTTCAGATGATTGATACCAAGCCAGACGGGGCAATCACCGTTGACGGAGTAGATGTTTCCGCCGTCGACCCAGCGCAGCTTCGTCAGCGAATCAACATTGTGTCCCAAGATGCATTCCTGTTTCCTGGCACCATACGCCTTAACCTAGATCCATTTTTCGCTGCTTCTGACAATGCTATTATGAGAGCACTCAAGCGTGTTGAGTTATGGTCTGTGGTTCAAGAAAAGGGTGGACTAGAGGCAGCCATGGACGACAAAGTGTGGTCAGCAGGACAAAAGCAGCTCTTCTGCCTAGCGCGTGCTCTTATTCGCAAGAGCAAAGTTTTATTCTTGGATGAAGCCATGAGCAAGTAAGTAGTGTAAAATCGGACATTTCCAACAAGATGCTAACAGTCAGCAGCGTTGACGCGAGCACTGAGAAGATTGCACACGACATTATCAGCACTGACTTCAAGGGGTGCACGGTCCTTTGCATTATGCATCGCCTGAGACATATTCACTCCTTTGACAGAGTAGCTCTCATCGCAGAGGGCTCCCTCATAGAATATGGCGAACCGGCCAAGTTGCTGGAAGAGCGTAGCCAGTTTGCCGAGCTATACGCCACAAGCAATAATCAGGGCACAGCACCGGCAACAGAGATGACTACATCGGGGTGAATTTTTTTCATTCCTCCATTGTAGCAACGCAAAACTAGCTTCAATTTTCAATTTCGAATGCATTCTACCATTCCTACTGAACCGCCTGACCAAAATCCACCGCACCAGCTTAGCCGTGCAGCTGCTCCCTCCGCCATGAAGTGTAGTCCATTTCGCAATCGGGAAACTTTACTTTAATTCGTGTGTTGATGACATCGGCCGCAATATGCCTGCCTTTCAACAGCATCGTCTCGCAGTGCGCCGTGTGCGCATACACGCCAATATACGAATCAATCGCCGCGTTGCCCAAACCGCTCATAATGGCGCGGTGCATCTTCTTCCACATGGCCGTGCAGTGCGAAATATGGTACTCCCAGTTGACATATAAGCCCGTATACTCTCCCGTCATGATCTGCTCGTGGCTGACAGGCTGCGTGCGGTTAGCGTCCAGGTACCACTCCAAGCCGACGTCAAAGTCCTTGGTCAGCTCTTTGTCGTAGCATGCCGTGGGCAGCCAGCAGAAGGAGACGGGATCAAAGTGGCATCCGCGCTTGCGTGCTTCGGCGGACGTGGTGCCGCATGGTTTGACCATGGTTTGAACACGTGCGGGTTCAGAGATGCTGGGTGTTGCCGAGTTGATGAGGTAAGGTGTTAGGCCGAGGGTTAGGCCGATGATGACAGAGGCCAAGATGAGGACGAGGAGGTGCGTTGTGGTAAAGGAGTGTCGTCTTCTCCTTTGGCAAATTGGTTCGCTTTCAGCATGATACTTTTCTGATGCAAGAAGCGGATTATCTTGGATGTCATCGTCGTCTGACACGGACGTGTAGCGGCTGCCCGAGGTAGACTTCGGCAAGCTCATCTTTGAAGATGTTCTTCTGTGAAGCACTCATACTTGATCAACGTTGGGTTAAAAACTTTTCATCATATTTAAATTCACTGGGAAAATTAACGAGCAACTAGAGGAAGAAATGCGGTGCTTTAGTCGGGCGGCACGCCGAGCGGCACGCTGTTGCCTGACGCCACGATGGAGCGCGGCATGCAGTGTATAGGGGTTTACTGTAAATGGGGCAATCTCTTCTCTTTCAGCACTTTACAATTGCCCAAGCAACGTAAGGGAATACACCTGCTGGAATTTCTCCTCTTTCCCACAATTTCTACCTACAGAACAGCCGACTCTCGCAGCATGGTTGGCCAAATGGCATTGTAGTCTAAAAGAACTCGATACAAATTCCAGACGGCAAGATACAGTCTTAGCCTTCCTACAACATACCGCCATCAACGTTGCTCTAACCATGCAACTTGGCATATGTCCAAAGCGCATCCCAGTTCTTGCACACATGGGGATACGCCAGCCCATCGACAACCGCCCTTCCTGTTCCGCCGTGCACAAACTCAAGCGAAGTATCGCCCGAGCACTGAATTCCCTGCCTCAAGTAGTCAAAGCAGTGGGCGTAATGCCACATTCCGTTGATTGCCTGGTCGTATGTTGGGGACGACACATTGGCTGGCCAAGTTGCCAATAGAGCTTCGCGGTGAACGCGGCCGTACATTAGATCCCACATAAATTTGCGCAGCGCTCCCTGAGCTGAATTAGAGAGTTGAAAGAAAAGTGCAGCTATATAGTTACGACTTACAAGGCAGTGCAGCTGATGGAACACGGACAGGCCAGCCTTCTTGTCAGGTAGCTGAAGGTTTCATCTGGGATCAATGTTGATAAAGCCCATACCGTTGGCTAAGAATTATAAACTGTTAGCTGGCTTCAATTATTTACGGCAAAAACCGGGATGAGGTAAAGACTTACGACCTGGTAGAGACTCCCATGCAGTGTTGCTCTCCTCGGACGGCAGCGACAAAAACAAGGGATCGAGTTGGAACGTTCTCACTTCTGTGGGAACTAATTTCAAAAATTAGCTTAAGAATTTATAGCTTCCTATAACTGCAAACATACATTCAGGGACCGGAGTAGGTAGCAGGTCGGAATCCCTCGAGTGAAGACGTCGGTCTCGCCACCACAGAATCGCCACGAGCAGCATTAAGCTGCCATTAAGAAGCAGAGATACAAACAGGCACTGTTTCAAACCGCTGTGCTTATGTTTGTCTTCAATTCGGCCTTCAGAATTGTTACAACCATCTTCAATTCCACAGGCGTCTCTGGCAAATTCGTCGCCTTCCTTGTGATCAAGCCACAAGTATCGCGTCTTGTTGAGTTGTAGCCAACGCATGGTTTGAATGCATGCTGTTGGGTTTACAGATTAAAATCAAGATCAGAATCACTGTAAGTATATCGGAAAACTCGTGAAAAAAAAAGGCTGGCCCGGCTTTTTCACGCACATGTTGGCTTTAATAATTGTCAAGCGACACGCTGGAGGGGCTGGGACCGTGGGCGTGACGCCAAAGTCGGCCCCTCGTCTCAGTAAAGAAGAAATAGATTGGGCCTAGACCATTTACTTTTTTCTTTGGGATCTCTGTCTTTTACTCAGTGTTCTCAAGAGTACGTATTCCTTCTAGCATCCAAGATTTACAGTTTCCTTCCTTCAGACAACACCGTATAATCGCAAGACACGAACATGTTTATGAAATGGCAGCTTAAAACATCTATCGATACTCAAGATGAAGAGGAAGACTTTTCACAATGCGGGCATCTACTCCCATCTCACAAAAAAAACCACGGGTATCGCATCCGTAAGAGGACCCCTCCGCACTGCACCACTTGGCAATGGTCGATAATTTCAGGATGCATTTTTGTCGCATCCTATCTGTTCCTCTTGATACAATACTCGATACATGGCGGCTATAAGTCTTGCCGATTTGGTACAGAAAGTAAATACCCCTTTGCACCTGCATTGAGACTGCGCCCATACTTACAGTAAACTTTCCCTCTGCAGACATTTTCAACGATATCCCAATCGAGTACGAGTATAAGCGTTTTAAGCGAGCTGGGTTTCATGATTCGAGGCACATAACCAACACAATCTACGAAGGCCGCCCCGATGAACACAACGACGCCGCGTGGGATCGATTACTCGGCGGTGAGTGAATCGCTGATGAGCAGGTACTTACGCAGACCAACTAACTGTACTCAACACAGTTGGCGTTGTCAACATCCTTGGCGAGGAAAATGCTAGGCTGACCAACGGGTCAGCACGCACCACAAACGGTCCTCCAGGCTCTTACATGGTCGAGTTGGAGATGTTTCACCAGTTCCACTGCTTGGTACGATGAATTCCTTTACAATGTGATTTTTCAAGTTTGTAACAAACAATAGAAATGGATTCGCGATCAGTTCTGGCAGCTAGATGACACAGTTGCGGGCACCAGAGTGTTGGACGATTTCCCCCAGCGAAGGAACCACACAGGTAATGAAACCTACTCTTGTTTGTTACCCACGAACGGGCCTCTTGACAACGTTTTTGTGATACAGACCACTGCATCGACTATCTTCGCCAGTCAATCATGTGCCACGGTGACGTTACTCCCATCACATTCGAATATGTGCCAGAGATTCGCGGTCTCATTGCGCACCATTCTACGGAGCACCAGTGTCGTAATTTTGAAGCCATATATTCCTGGGCGGAGGGGAGACGGGTCATGGGATTTCATGTTGGCGGGAACCACAAGAACGTCGAGCTCAAGGATGCTGAAAAGTTCGATTAATGTACCTTTATCTTTCTATTACTTTTAGTCTGAAAACAAATAACATCTTAAATCATGTGTTATCTTGAAACAGCCTAGAGGAATAACGTGATTTGTCAGGAACGTTTCACATGGAGGCGGCGGTCTTTTAGGGACGAATTTGGAGGTAGAAGCGCGACACGATAAACGGGAGAATCAGCTGTCTAATTATCGACTTTCGCGTGTCTCTGGATGCTTTCGACGTCATTGTACATTATTAGGCGTGCCGTGGGCGCTGATCGTGCCATGGTTTCCCCCAACAAGTTTTCCGTCGAGTGTCGGCCATCTGCAGGCGTGTCGCCAATTCTAAGCGTGCCGCTTATTCTGGGCGTGACGCAGAAAGACAGCGCTCTTGGATCAAAAAGTTTCTATTGGCTTAATTAATATCCTTTTTTGTCGTGGTAATCGTGATACCTATCTACTTTATAATATAAGAGCTGCGTTTATATAAGATGAAACAGCCAGATCTGCCACTCAAAGCAAGTCACTCGAGTCACTTGAGCACTTCTTCCATCTTCGAATATTATTCCGTCTCCCACAAAGAAAATCTATTCTTTTTCACTTGGACACCATGCAACCCCTCAACATCATCGCCCTCCTTGCTATCGGCGCTATTGCCGCCCCCTCGGCCCCCCTCCAGGCCCGCGACGAGTTTCTCGTTAGCAGAAACTGCTACAACTGGATCAAGCGCAACGAGCAGCACAGTAACCGTGCCTGCGAGCTTTCCGAAGATGGACCTGGTCAGAGCTACAGGGTCAAGAGAAACTGTTACAACTGGATCAAGCGCAATGAGCAGCACACCGATGTCTGCTAAGGACTATACATAAATTCATACATAGATGGATTGACGGCTGATAGCCCTACGAGCAAATTAGGCATGCTAGGAGAATTCTCAAGTCAATACATCTATTCATGCTAACGAACCGCGTACCGATGTTTTTGTAAAGACCCTACTACTACTACTGTACTGAGCGTCCGTCGTGATGCACTATAATACGCACCTTTTGTCCGTACGCCCCCATGCACAGATCGATCCCGTCTGTAATTTACATGCAATTACACAATTTCTGTTCGTGTTTCCTCTCGGCTGCTTCCCCTCCTTCCGTCGCTCTCCGACCGTGCCACCCTATGGCCTAAATAACGAACCACTGGCTTTATCCTGCTGAGAGTCCATAGCCTGCAATTTTGGTCTATATCAGGGGGCACAGTGGCTTGCAATGGGCCGGGAGTTGATGGCTAAGTCACCTTTTTTCCGCAAGCCCATAGCGAAATGTGAGGCAGTCTTGCGAAGACTCCCTCTGCAGTATGCCCCTTCTTGGTCGTTGGCTGAGGAACTCATGCTGGATGCGTCGAAGTCTCGGCTTTCACAAGCTGAGATCTCTCAGCCACTGTGCACAGCTGTGCAACTGGCCCTGGTGAGCCTGCTCACAGTATCTGGCATCCAATTTGATGCAGTGGTTGGTCACTCTTCAGGTTAGATCGCTGCAGCCTATGCCAGCGGAATTATAACTCTCAGGGGTGCCATGCAGATTGCTTATTATCGAGGTTATCATGCTAAGCTCGCCAAGGGTAGACAAGGCCAGCAGGGAGGTATGATGGCGGTTGGAATTTCTACGGATAAAGCACTGCAATTCTGTCAACGGGCCGAGTTCAAGGGCCGCATTCAAGTGGCAACTCGTAATGCCCCCCAGAGTGTCACACTGTCAGGAGACAAGGACGCGATAACAACGGCGAAACAAATCCTCGACGATGATGGCACTTTTGCACGACAGTTGAATGTTGACACGGCCTATCATTCATACCACATGCTGCCATGTGCCAAGCCATACCTAGAGTCATTACTTGCCTGCGATATTGAAGTGAGACGTCCAAGCCCGGCAAATGCATATGGAGCTCGAGGGTTCGAGGCGACACCCAGCTTCTCCGAGAGGATGGATATCTTGATAGCCTGAAAGGCCCTTACTGGGTAGACAATATGGCTCAGACGGTGCTATTCTCCCGGGCCGTTGAGTCGTCCATCTGGCATGGTGGTCCGTTGGATTTAGTCATTGAACTTGGCCCTCATCCGGCACTCAAAGGGCCGATCGAACAGACCCTGAAAGCAATTCATGGTTTCTTTCCACCGTATACCGGTGTCCTGAAGCGTGGTACTAACGACGTTGAGACGTTCTCGGCCGCTTTGGGGTCCGTCTGGGCACAGCTAGGTCCGGCGTTCATTAATCTGCCTGGCTACCAGATGGCATTTTGTGAGCCAGAGAGCCGTCCACCGGCCGCACCAAGAGCCATCGTGGGACCACGAACAGATATACTGGCGCGAATCTCGCACGACTCGGAAATATCGCACTGGCAGAGACATGAGCCATGAGCTTCTGGGGCGCCGGGCACTAGACGACAACGAATGCGAGATGCGCTGGCGCAATGTGCTAAAAGTCAGCGAGCTACCATGGACTCAAGGCCACAAAGTTCTGGGCGAGGCACTACTGCCTGGTGCCGCCTATATTAGCATGGCACTTGAGGCAGGCAGAAGCCTGGCCGTCGAAGGGGCAGAACAGTCAAGCTGCTCGAGGTGAGCCATGTCATCCTCCGTCCAGCTGTGGTTCCAGATGACAAGGATGGAACCGAAACAGTTTTTACCGCACAGCTGCTCGATGATGTCTCTCCAAGCGACAAAAGTCGCAGTGTCCTACGAGCGTCTTTCTCGTTCTATATCTTCAATAGCTCAGCGAGTACATCGGCAGTCCATGCATGCAGTGGCAATATTCTTGTCTACCTTGACACCGCATCTGAATCTGAGGCCAACTCTGGAATGCTTCAACTACCATTAAGAGGACCGCGTGCTTCCAACCTGGTGGACATTGATTGTGAGGGCGCTTATTCTCTCTTTGGACGCATTGGCCTCGAATACTCTGACGTGTTCCGGCGCATCAAGACCAGCAGTCGTCGTCTGGGGCACGCCACAGCAAGCGCAGTCTGGGATGAAGGCTCTCTGAGCGACCACTACATTGTCCATCCCGCTATTCTTGATGTTGCTTTCCAAAGCATGTTTATTGCCCGAGCACATCCCAATAGCGGCCAGATCAGTTCGGCTTTGCTGCCATCACGCATCGAGCACGTAACGGTGGTGCCATCTTCCTCATTGCTATCGAAATTGCAACGCCGACAGACTATCAGCGCAGAGTTCGACTCTTGGGTTCTCAACCAGACCGCGACTTCTGTGAGGGGTGACATCAATGTGTACGATTCTGACACTGGGTCGCCGTTGCTGCAAGTAGAGGGATTCGAAGTGAAAATGGTCGGTGAGCTGGACGCCTCGAACCATCGGCTCTTGTTCTCCAAGACATCCTGGGGACCTGACGTCTCGCTGCTGGGCTTGGCGGATCCTATTCGCAACGCGGCCGCCGATGCGGCAGTGCTCAGCTCGGCCGAGGCCAGCGAACGTGTGAGTCTGTTTTACGTGAGACAGATCATGGATGAGATCAGCATCCAAGACAGATCTGATGCAATGTGGTATCACAAACGCATGTTAGAATCCTTTGATCAACACCTGGAAAAGGTGAAGAATGACCAGCATCTTCACTTACGCACCGAATGGCTGTCGGACGACTGGACTGTCATCCAAGCACTGGGCGATGCGAATCCAGACGCAGTTGAGCTTCAGATGCTCCACGCCGTGGGCAAGAATATGTTAAGTGTTATTAGAGGCGAGAAACATATGCTTGAAGTCATGCGAGTAAACAATCTCCTTGACCGCTTCTATGCCGACGATAAAGGCATGCAGCAAGTCAACTACTTCTCGGCCAATGCAATACAGCAAATTATTTTCAAATTCCCGTGCTGCAGAATCCTGGAGATAGGAGCAGGAACTGGTGCCACGGTATGTGTATACTCTCTCTGTCAATTTTTCGAGCTATGCAAAAGGGACCTGACATTTACGATGCTATGCATGCCATTGATGACGCCTTCGATACTATCACGTTGACAGCTATGGGAGCAGATTAAATAGTGGAATTATCCTTGGGATTAAAGCTTTCTAGGTACGAAAAGTAGGCCCTTATTTATAGATATTAAGGTTATCTAATAGGCTACTTAAAAAGTAATTAATTTAAGGGGTTTTATAATATTTAGCTATTAAAGGTTTAGCTTTAATAAAGTAATAATATAAGCTTTCTTTTAAGGCTTTTTATATAATTAAAAAGCAATTATTTAAGGCGTTTTAAGGCTTATTAAGGTCTCTAATAAATAATAGTTATTTTCTATTAAAAGAGGCCTTTAACGTTAATATACCCTTATAAATTAAATTAATAGCTAACTATTAAAGCTATTAATAGCTATTAAAATAAGCTAGATTAGTTAATTTAAGTTCTTTTAATAATACTAATAATATTAATAAGCTTTAAGTACTTAATAAAGCAATTAAATTATTAGCCTATTAAAATCTTTATTAATTTATTAGTTGAATTATTAGCGCTTTAAATGAATTTAATATTAAAGGTCTCTTATTAATAGGCTTATTAAATCTAACTAGTATAAATATTAATATAATAAAGAGTAATCTTAAGCCTTAAAAGATTACTATTAATAAGCTAAATTATTTATAAATTATTACATTATATTATAGGCTTTAAACGATTTAATTATAGGTTTAATTATTAAAAAAGCTTAAATATTATAATAGTCTCTTTAATTATATATATAAAAGCTAATAATTTAGCTTTAATAGATAATATTATAACTGTATCTTACTTATTAGCTGTCTAATTAATAGGTCTATTAAATAGTTAAATTATTAAGCCTTATAATAACTTTTAGGTCTATTAATCGTTTATAAAGGTAATATTAAAAGCTATTTAAAGCTTTAAGTTATTAGGACTTTTATTAAATTTAATTGCTAGGTATTACGTTAAATATAAGTATTTAATAACTTAATTAATAACCTATTAGTAGGTTATTAATTAAGTTATTAAGTACTTATATTTAACGTAATACCTACTAATTAAATTTAATAAAGGTTTTAATAACCTAAAGCTTTAAATAGCTTTTAATATTACCTTTATAAACGATTAATAAACCTAAAGGTTATTATAAGACTTAATAATTTAACTATTTAATAAACCTATTAATTAAATAATTAATAAGTAAAATATAGTTATAATATTGTCTATTAAAGCTAAATTATTAGCTTTTGTATATATAGCTAAAGAGACTATCATAATATTTAGGCTTTTTTAATAGTTAAACCTATAATTAAATTATTTAAAGCCTATAATATAATATAATAATTTATAAACGATTCGGCTTATTAATAATAACCTTTTAAGGCTTAAAATTACTCTTTATTAAATTAATATCTATAATAATTAGATTTAATAAGCCTATTAATAAGAGACCTTTAATATTAAATTTACTTAAAGCACTAATAATTTAACTAATAAATTAATAAAGATTCTAATAGGCTAATAATTTAACCACTTTATTTAACACTTAAGTTAATAGTAATAGGTAATATAATTATTTTATTTAATTAGGTTAAATAGATTAAAAGGTCTTTTAATTAATTAAGGTATTATATACTACTTAAGTAGCCTTTTTAAATTTAAGCTTATAAGAATACCTTTATAACTCTTTTAATATTAAGGTTTAGGTAATAAGCTTCTTTTATATAGCCTTTTAAGCCGTTTAATTAAAAAGCTATTATAAAAGCTATTAAAAGCTTTATTTAAAATCTATTATAACTATTAAAGCCCTTTAAATTAATATAAAGGCTTTAATAAAGCTAGCGTTAAAAGGCATTAATAAGAGCCGCTTATATTAAATTTAAGGTTCTTAAAAATATTAAATTTAAATAATTAACTTTCTTTTTAATTAACTTAAAGGCCTTAAGTATTAACTTTAATAATAAATTATATCTTATTAGTATTATTATTATTATTTAACTTAATATAAATTGAAAATTTAAGCTATTATAGCTTTTATAATTAAATTTAATGAATTTAGCTTTAATAAAAGGTTTTTTTATTAAAGGTTATATCTTTAACCCGTTTAACTTTTAATTTTAAGGCTTTAAAGGCTAGAACCTAGACAAATATAAGAACATTTATATAGCAGAGCGAGCTTATAGAATACGACTAAACTATAACTAATACTTTTTTATTAACGCTAATATTTACGTTAGCTTTTTAACGTTAATAGAGTAGCTTTTAATCGTAGATTCTAATAAGCTTTATTATATTAGCTATAAGAAATACTCTAGAACCTTTTTTTTCCTATATAATAATAGTAAATATTTTATATTAAAAGTAACTATATAATATATATTCTTTAATAAGATTAAAGTGGGAAATAAGTATAATAAATTAACGTAGTATAGCTATTATAATAATATTATATAGAGCGAGATTATACTTAATAAGATGGGATTAACTCCTAAGAATGTAGTTTATAAATTCTTAATATCTTAATATAAATAAAAGGGAAAAATTTTTAACTTAAAATAAGGGTAATAGCCTATTATTAATAAGTCAAAACCACGTACGTTTAGTTATTATAAGAACTAATAGTACTAGCCTTTAATTACTTTATATTATATTAATAGAGAGGAAATTAACGACTTATACGCTTTTAAATAAGATTAAAACTTTACTAAAAGAATAATAATTAAAGATATATATTACTAGTTTATAGTTACTTATTTAGTTAAGTTACTTTTAAACTAGGATAATAAAAGTAAGAACGTTTATTACTTAAATTATAAAGCTAAAACGTATAAAGAGTTAAAACTATAAAAGGCTAAGATAAATAGCTTATTAGAAAAGAAGCTTATAATATATAAGAACTCGTTAAGCTATAAGAAAGTTTATTATTTTTAGAAGGGCTACTTTTAATAGAAATTTTAAATAGTATTTACGGCTTAGCGTATAATAAGATAAAGCTTAATAATACTATAAAGAAGAATAATAATAAAGATAAACGATCGTTTAGTGGATAATATATAGATTAAATTAATAAGTAAACTAATAAGTAAGGAAATTATAGTGAAATATATAAATAATAGGTAATAAATAAAGAGAGAAATAGGGATTTAAGAGTATAAAAGTAGAATATTTAGCTAGTAAATTAATTTTTCACTTTCTTTTACTTTTATCTTATTATCTTCCTTTTATTAGGTCTAGCTGTTATAATCTTTCTAAAATATAAGATAATATATTTAGAGTATAACTTAGTGTAGACTAAACTAATAACTGCTATATAAACCTACCTAATAGAAGGTTAAATAGGTAACCTAACTATAGTTTAGTAGGTATACCCTTCTAATAATAGCTTTACGTAGTTTAGGGTTAGGGCTATAAGTGGTAGTTATAGCTATTAAGTTACTATTAGTATCGCCTTAAAGTTAGTTTTAATAGAATTAGTATAATCTAGTTGTAAGCTATTATTTAGTTAAACTTACTAGCTTATACATTTAAATTAGGCCTAGGAATTTATAGGAACTTAGGCTTTAAGCGGGAAGTAGCTGTATTATTTATCTTTATAATTTACGTTAAATAGCTTAATTTTATAGATATTATAGTATTAAGCTAAATAGAGTTATTATATAACTTTATTTATTTATACATTTAAAGGCATATAACTATAGGTAAAGTAAGTTCTAGCTACCTAGTAGTTAATACCGGTTAATATTATATAATTATAAGGGTTTAAGGAGCTAAATAAGTTTTTTAACTAATAGTATATTCTATTAGTTACTAGTGTAAACTATTAGCCTTATATTTTATAAATTAAGGAGCTAAATAAGTTTTCTTTAGTTATTATTTCTTATTAAATACGGCTATATAGCTTTCGCTATAAACTATTACTCTACCTATTTACGATTAGGTCTTCTAGTAGCACTTTATTTTATTATAGTATGCGTATTTAATATATTATTTTAACTTTATTCTCTTCTTTAAATCTTAAGCACCTACTATACTTATTACCTTATAACACTTAGTTATTTAATATTAATAATTTAATTATTATCTTTAATAATACCTAAATAGGTATATAAATATATAAATACTTATCCTTTAACTTTTAATATATAGTTTAGTCTTAAAATTAAAGCTAGTTAGATAGCCTACCTATTACTTTTAACTCTAATTTATACTCTAAGGTAATATCTTATATTAAGAGAGGTATAATTCGCGGCTAAAAGGTTATAATAAATATTCTAAAATAGGCTAAAATTAGCCTTTATATAACGGGTACGCTTATAATTTACCACGCGAAAACATTTATTAATAAGCGATATAAGAAGGTTAAATATTCTAAAACGTATCTCTTACGCGTTTATAGTAATAGAATATATACTAATAATATTAGTGTCTTTAAAGGCCTAATTAAAAAGGTAAAGATTATATAATAGTAATATTAAGAATTAGCCTTATTATTATAAGCGTATAGCTTTTAAGGCACGTGAATTATAACTATAATAACTTACTTTTTTAGCCTTAATAATTCCTAGAGATTTTATTAAAAGGCTATTAAAACTTACATTTTTTATAACCTTATGTATAGCTTATAGTTACACGTTTTATATACGCTAATTATTAACTATATGTAAAATAAGTAAGCATTTATTTAGTTTATATTACTAAGCGAGCTAGTAGAACTACTATAAGAACGCTTAAAATAGATTTTTTAGGCTAATTAAAATACGATAATACTAGACTATTACTAGTATTTAACTACTTATATTCTAGTAAAATTATATTAAAGCTATAATTTAGGTATAAAACTAACTAGTAAATAAAATATAAACTTACTTATAATATAGAATATTAAAGGCTTTAATACTAGCGTTTTTATAATTTATATAACTAAATAAAGTGTTAATTTTCTTAGTAATATTATTATATTTAAGTATTTTAAGCCTAATATTAAGCTTCTATTTAACGAATAAATAATAATAGAGAAACTTCTCTTAAAGAATTAATATAAAAATAACGTTATATATATCTTATAGCC